CCCTTAATAAAAGATTTTTTTTACAGTCGTCTGATGGAGTATATGGCCCAGGAACCCCCGGCCCACAGACTCCTACTACTCTAGCACAGGCCCAACAGGCCCAAAAAGCGCGTGAGACCCAGAGCACCGCAGCCCAAGCCCATGGGAGCCCACGGTGCGCCTGGCGATGCCTTCGGCCCTATGGCCAAAGGCTCCAAACTTCAAGAAACAGCTGATTTTCTACATACAAAGCTACTGGGATAAAATGACAGAATTTGGGAGCCTTCGGCTACACCAAGCCTTCGGCTGCAGAGAGCCCCCGGCTACGGGGGAGCCTTCGACTGACAGCTCGATCATCAAAGATTCCCTTTTTAGACAAGCAACCACCGCATTTAATGCGGCGTCACGTCCAACCACCGCATTTAATGTGGTGTACATGCGAGTGCCGGTGCCACCCCGATTGAGGTGACCCCTCGGCCGTTAGATTGTTGACACGTGTACTCTCATTGCATTTATGGTTGCTATAAATAGCAACCCTTATTCCTCTTGTAAAGGATCCCGGAACAAGTTCATTTAATATACTTGACTCTCTCTCTCTCTTACTTGCTTGCTCTGACTTCTCTCTAGGTTATTCCCCGCAATAACCCCTCGGATAAACTACCCCCGGGTACACTATCTATCACCGTCTTTTTAAATGTTATGAAATCTAGAAGGTAGAAACTTATCTCTGCCAAACTCGCACATAAAAAGGCCATTGATGTGGGATATTAATGTTATTGTTGTTAATATTATGAAATCTAGAGACTTATAGATGTATTTTTTTTTGAAGAAGATAGACTTAATTAATATCAAGCAGATCATTGTTCAAAATGCAATTGAGAAAATCAGGAGGAACATCAAACCAAATATGCAAATCAGCTAAAGAACAGACCACTCTTGCAAGCGCATGGGCAGCCTTGTTCGCTGATCGCCTCACGTGAGTAAAAGAAATGCAAGAAAAATTCTTTGACAAATGTTTGATATCTTCTAACACCACTCCGGTAGAGGAGCTGCTTGTAACTCTGAGTATTTCTGCAATGGCACAAGCTGAATCCGATTCAACCTCCACCGCCTTCCAGTCAAAATCCAGTATCCAACTCAAAGCCTCTCTGATGCCAACTAGTTCCGCGATCAAAGGGGGCAAGTTCCCCTTCCACGGTCGAGCCCCTCCAGCCACAAAGCTCCCTGCCTCATCACGTAAACACCAGCCCAGTCCGCACCCTGAAACACGAACCGCAGCATCCACGTTCAATTTCAACCGCCCCGAAGTCGGTCTGCTCCAAGCCTTCACCCGTTCCTGCTGAATTTGGTGATCCCCTCTTCTGGAAGCTTGCACCTGAGTCCACCCCAGAACCATAGCCTCTGCCTTTCTCATAAATTGAGCCGCCGGTATAGATGACCCATTCCAAACCTGCTGGTTGCGCTCACACCAGATTGCCCAACACCCCCAAACTAACGTTTGCAGATAATCCTTACTTCTTGAACCAAATTCCCACTCCAGCTGATCCATGAAGTTCGTAGCCCCTCAGTCCATCCATTGCCACGCATTGACCTGCCAAGCTTCCCTCGCTACCTCACAGGAGACAAAGATGTGGAGTAATGATTCCTCTTCCCCTGCGCACAGACCACAAACCACCGGACAATCCACCCTTCTGGCTCTCAAGTTCGTCTTGGCCGGAAGACAGCCCCTGCACACTTGCCAAAAAAAGTTTTTTAGTTTCGGGGGTAAAGGCCAAGTCCACATGGATGTCCAGCCCGACCAACAAGACGAAATAGCATCCCCAACCAATCTTCTATAGCAACTTTTAACAGTAAAGAGACCATTTCTTTCCCATCTCCAACAAATTTTATCTGGTATTTGCCTTAAACTAATCGGGATACTTCTGATTAATGAAACATCCCTCTCGATAAATAAATCCTTAAGAATATCCTCATCCCACTCCCGCCTCGTGTTAGCCAAGAGATTAGTCACCGAAGCCTCATGCAAACCAATTGCAACCTCACTTAAAATTCTGGGATTATCACGATCGGGCAGCCAGGGGTCTCTCCAGATGTTGATAGATTTACCGTCTCCAACTCGCCAGTAGAACCCATCCCGAATAAGATTTTGAGTCTGCAAAAGACTCCGCCAAATGAATGAAGGATTACTTCCAAGATTAGCTGATAAAAGGTCACCTCTTGGAAAGTATCGAGCCTTAAAAACCCTCCCAACTAAAGAATCCGGGTGAGTAAAAAGGCGTCAGGCTTGTTTAGCTAGCATGGCTAAGTTAAATTCCCGCAATCTCTTGAAACCCAGTCCCCATTCTTTTTTCGGTCTACATATAGTAGCCCAATCTTTCCATCTTATACCTTTCCCCGATTTCCCCTTCCACCAGAAGCCATTCATCAGGACTTCAATCTCCTGACAAAGATCATTAGGCAATAAAAACACATTCATGGCATAAACCGGCATGGCCTGAATAACTGATTTCAAAAGAATCTCCCGTCCAGCTTTAGATAAAAAATTATTATTCCAACTAGTAATTCTTTTCACCACTCTCTGTCTAATGTAGCCCAAGATTGCACGTTTACTCCTCCCAACTAACGCCGGGAGACCCAAATAAGTCTCCTCACTACCCGCCAATCCCACTCCCAACAAATCAATCAATCCCTCCCTGAGCTCAGCTGAGACATTTGAACTAAAGAAAACTTTTGATTTGTTAAAATTTATTACCTGACCCGACGCTTCTTCATAATCAGCCAGTGTCTCCTTAATTAAAGATGCTTCCGAGTGAGTAGCTCGAAAAAATAGCAGACTATCAACTACAAAAAATAAATGAGAAATACTTGGAGCCCCTCTGGACACAGAAACCCCGTGAAGCCGGCCGGCCCATAGATTCATGTTTGCGGAATAAGGCACTAAGTCCCTCTGCCACGAGTAAAAATAGATAAGGGGACAGAGGATCCCCTGGCGCAAACCTCTCCCAGGAAGTGGCAAACCAATCTCTGAATCATCAAAAGGAATAGAATAAGAAACCGAAGTAACCATTCCATGACCAAATGCACCCACCTATCGCCAAAGCCCATGTGCCTCATCATGCCTTCCAGAAAGGACCATTCCACCCGATCGTAGGCTTTGCTCATATCCAGTTTCAGTGCAACAAATCCCATCTTACCATTCCGCTTTCGTTTCAAAAAATGCTGAGACTCAAAAGCCAACATAATATTATCCACAATATGCCTACCGGGAATGAATGCGCTCTGCTGCTCTGACACACAAAGATGTAATAGATTTTTCAATCTATTAGTTAATGTCTGATAATTAAATTCTCATTTAAGGATATTAATTGTTTTCAAAAATAGAAATGAGAGTCTTTAAGTCTAGTTTGATTTTGTATGGACTGATCCGGTTTGCTATGTGATCCATGTGCATCTTACAACTATCAAAGCTTTGTGTGGTCTGGTGTGAGACTGAACATGTTTTCACTTAGATTCATTTCAGTCCCAATAATTAGATCAGATTAGATTAGACTATCAAAGCATACCAGACCACACATAAATAAGCTTCAACAGATCAGTCCATACATTGAGAATTACTTTGTATAAAATACACATAGACTGGACATGTACCAAAGTCGACCAGATCATTTCAGATGTCATCAAAACATACTGGACTTAAACAAACAAGATCAGATCATATCAAACCAGCAAAATTGCAATTCAATTAAAACCATTCTCACACAAGTCCAAATAAAACATCCTTAGTCCGAAATCAATTGCAATCGGAATAGCAATAAATCAAAGCAACTGTATAACACATGACAATATAATATCACAATAAAAACTTTGTAAAAGCTAATTAAATTGTTTAACACACGACCAAATTTAATGCAACACGACAATGGGGCATATTTTGTTTATCATGTGCCCATGATCTCCAAGACTCCAATCGCAAATGTGGTTAATTAAAGCCTCACAATAAAATTCGAAAATCTATCTAATTTACTTTTTTTGGATGATCTATCTAATTTAGGGGTGGGCACGGTCCGGACGGTCCGGGATTTGACTTATCCCGATCCCGTCCCGGTTTTATAAAAGCGGTCCGGTACGGTACGGGATAAGTCTGTATCCCAATGTTGTCCCATTTAAAACGGGACCGGAACAACCCGAGAAAAACCGGGACGGTTCGGGATGTCCCATAAAATATGCATTTGTGAAATGTGATATAAAAAGAAGCATAACAAACAAATAAAGATGTAACTATATTTGCAAATTTAGCTACCCTAAAAAGTTAAGTTAAACCCTTAATTAACTATTTTTATTTTTGTCTTGTAATTTTTTTTGTTCCCCCTAATCTTGTGTTTCCTCTAGTAGAATAGTAGCGCAAAATATTTGTATACTTTGTAGTACACTTGTAATTTTTCAATACCACATTAAATTAAATATCATATCTATAAAGACACTATATATATTTTCTAGTAGTTATTTTAGAAAATATTAAATCTATAACAACATTATAATTTGGAGTAGTAGTTATTCAATCATAAATAGTATTCCGCACGTAATAATATATTATGGATTAGTATGGGAATGAGAACTAAACAAATTTTAATCAAAAGAAACAAAATAAATGAGACTAAGAGAGACATGAAATAAGATAAAATTACACTAGGGAAACTAAGGACTAGAAAGTTTTAATTGGGTTTGACTATTACATAGCATTAGAAATTTAAAATAACATACTCCGTATTAATTTCAAACGGGACACCGGGACAGGACATGATATTTTAAAGCTATCCCGGTCCCGTCCCGATTAATATCGGTGTGGGACCGGTTCGGGATTAAAACATTGCGTCCTAAATGGATCGGGATAGTTTCGGAACGGTATCGGGATTTTTCGGTTTGGGACACCGGGACCGGGATTTTTGCCCACCCCTAATCTAATTTACTTGAAAACAAAAAGAAAGCAAATTTTTTTTTTTTATTTTTTTTTGTGTTTATTCTTTCTTTTGTCCCATAGGTAAGAAAGTAATGTAACTGGATGCCAATTGCGCTGCTCTCTCTCTCTCTTTCTCTCTCTCATAATGAATTAGGGGGATGAAGACGGGAGTTGACAACCGGAATCCTGCGTGCTTGTGTTGAATCTCTTATCTCTCCATCCGTACTTCTATCTCCTCATCTTTTCCGTTTCATTTAACGGCAGCTCAGAAGAATTACTTTTGGGCTCATCTGAATCAGTGAAACCTAGATTTTGGAGGTAAGAGTACTATGAAGGATAGGAATTTGGACCTGTTTGACCCGAGAACGGCTCTAATGGACCCTGATTGCTCCCCTACCTCTGGCCGCCAGCCCGATTTCGCCTTCGCTTTCAACGACAGCAACTTCTCCGACCGCCTCTTGCGGATCGAGATTGTTCCGGACCCGACCGATCAGCCCTCTGACGCCGAGGGTTATCAGAGCATCGCCGATTGGGCTCGCAATCGCAAGCGCAGGAAAGAAGAAGACCCCACGAATGGAAACGGTTTGTCTCATATCGCTCAATATCTTTCACATTTGCGAAGCGTTTATATACGTGTATAGAAATCCCGTTTGTTTTTTGTGCGAGTGGAATTGGAAAGTCTGTTCTTTTTTGGGGAGAAATTTGTACGAATGGCCAAATCTGTTAGATGCTGAAAAAAGGCATAAAAAATCTAATGGAAGTCTAAAAATGAAAACAAGCCATGAAGAAGTGCAAGGTAAAGTGGTAAACGATGCTTAAAATGGGATTTTTAGCATTTCCCCTATACATCAATTTTAAAAATCTATTTTATTTTTGTATGAAAATTTTGAAAGCAGCAATTTTTGTTTTGTTTTTATATGCTCCGGTATTAAGGTTGAGTCCAAGAAATCCATTAACAACTTGCAAGCTCTGGGTAGAAACTGGTCACTGGATTGGTTTCTTTTATTGAATTAGATTAAAATCTCGGATTATGTTTATCATTCAATCAAAAGCCATTATCAAGGCAGGCTTGTATTTAACCATCCTCATCATTCTCCTGGATTCCATATTGGGATTTCTTCAGTATGGCTTGATTACCATCCAAGTAATATTTGTTTAATAACATTACACGTTTGTTGAATTAAATAATTGCAAAGTATTCTTATGGATTTGCATATTTCTGCTTTAGTCTTTATCTCATTGAGATTGAGATGTCAACATTCATTGTCCACACTCCATTCCGCAATTTGTTTTAGCTGTAAGTTGGAAACTTATTTTCTTTCTTGTGTTAATATCATCCATTAGCTGTAAATATGGTTCGAACTGGTTAGACCTTCTCTTTCTTATGCCAGCATGTTTTTCTATGATGATAATCAGACATATGCCACTCGTTTGCAGCTTTGGATATTACCATATGTCCAGAGGAGCAGATTCAAGATTGTCACCAGATTGATCCAGAAGAAGATGTCGATGCTGACACTGACATTCAAGAGGAAGAAGTTATTGCAATGGTTGAAGAAACACATTCAGGTATTTATAGATCTCTTACGCTCTCATTGTTCATAACAACTTTGATTTGTTTTTACTTTGGTGCTTTGTAATATGGGGTGGATAACACGAAACATCTCCCAAAAATAATTTGCTGAACGTGTAAAAAAATTGTTTAACTAGGAGATGAAGCTCCTAGCAGTGAAGATTCAGACTGGAACATGGATTCAAGGGTTACAACAGTCAAAACATTACACATCAGCTCTCCTATTCTGGCAGCAAAAAGTCCATTCTTTTACAAGGTATTTATAATAAAACAATACCATGCATATTTGTATTCTACTAAAAAACCTGCAAGCAATTCATATAGCTTTTTTTTAAAGAACTAGTGCATCAGCTTCTTCCTTTTGTTACTTTTGCAGCTTTTCTCTAATGGGATGAAGGAATCAGAGCAGAGACAAGTCACCCTTCAAATATATGCTTCTGGTAATTTACTTTAGATCAACTATATTCAACTTCCATGGCACTTTCACTAAATGCTTTTTGTATTCCTAAAGGGTAGTACCCTTTTATGTTGACTTTGCAGATTTGCAGTTTTATTAGGGATGAAGAAAATTAATGATAAGCATCGAATTCAATAAATTTATTTTTGGTGTTTTCTTATACTCGTTAGCCTTTAAGTAGGCATACATGTTATAAAGAAAGCACTCCCTACTTCAATTTGTTTTACCTCCAAGATAGATATAACAAAACTCAAGAAAATAACTTTCCCTGTGTTTTTTCTTTTCTCAGCATTTCTAGGATCCAAACATGCCATTCATGATTTTTTTCTACCCCTTTATCCTTGTTGCAGTGGTATGACTATTTTCTACTTTATTTTGTCACACAGAGGAAACTGCACTTATGGAGCTCCTGAACTTCATGTATAGCAATACTCTAACTACAAATTCTGCAAGTGGCTTGTTGGATGTACTTTTGGCTGCTGACAAATTTGAGGTCGCTTCGTGCATGAGATATTGCAGCCGCCAACTACGGAATTTACCAATGACCCCGGAAGCAGCATTGCTGTATCTGGAGCTACCTTCAAGCATCCTTATGGCTGATGCTGTTCAGCCATTAACTGATGCAGCAAAGCAATATCTAGCTGTTCGCTACAAAGATGTCTCCAAGTAAAGTTTCTTATTACTATCTATATTTCCTTAGTTTTTCACTAAGGGTGTGTTTGCATGGAGGGGGGTGTTTGAGGAGTTTAGTGCATGTCTTCATATCTATTTGAGACTTCATAAAAATCGAAAGATCAAGCCTTTGCCTGATTTAGGGAAGAAATAAAGAGAGAGAGGTAGGGTATTTTTGTGTGTTGTTTGGTCTGAAAGAAATGAAGAAGAAATTGGTAGAATTAGGAGGTCCGTTGCTTTCCTATCTTGACAACGGAGACAACGGAACAACAAGGAGAGATGACCCACCATTTTCATTTCACTCCACTTTCATATTCTCCTCTCTGTTTCTCATCTCACCAAACAAAGGAAATTCCCCTATCTGTCACATTCTTTTGTGTTCTATTTAGCCAAACAATGGCCAACGTAATATATGTTCGACCAACATTTTAATCACCTTTGTATTGAACCCCTCTCCAATATCACAACAGACGTTTGTTTATTAAAACCATTTCAATGCTTTTATAGTGTTCATAGTTATAATGGGTTGATTGAACTTTGGGGCAGGTTCCAAGATGAGGTAATGAGCTTGCCCCTGGCTGGCATCGAAGCAATATTGGCCAGTGATGACCTCCAAGTGGCATCTGAGGATGCAGTATATGACTTTGTGGTGAAGTGGGCAAGGGCTCATTACACAAGGTTGGAGGACCGACACAAGATTCTCGGGTCCCACCTCGGTCGCTACATACGCTTCCCCTACATGAGTTGCCGGAAGCTCCGGAAGATTCTTGTTGGTAACGACTTTGATCATGAGTTTGCATCCAAACATGTCCTTGACGCCCTATTTTTCAAGGCGGAGGCCCCGCACCGGCAGCGGACCCAAACCGCGGAAGGTTCATCCTCGTCTAGCCGTCGTTTCATCGAGCGTGCTTACAAGTACCGACCCATCAAGGTGGTCGAATTTGAGACTCCTCGTCATCAGTGCATAGTTTACCTAGATCTCAAACGGGAAGAGTGTGCTAATTTGTATCCATCCGGGAGGGTATATTCCCAAGCTTTTCACTTGGGAGGGCAAGGGTTTTTCCTGTCGGCCCATTGCAACATCGATCAACAAAGCTCTTCACACTGTTTCGGTCTCTTTCTTGGGATGCAAGAGAAGGGGTCAGTGTCATTTGCAGTTGACTATGAGTTTGCCGCTAGGTCAAAGCCAACGGAGGAGTATGCGAGCAAATACAAGGGGAATTACACTTTTATCGGTGGGAAGGCAGTGGGATATCGAAACTTGTTTGGCATGTCTTGGGGTAATTTCATGGCTGATGATAGTCCATACTTCATCAATGGAATACTCCATCTTAGGGCTGAGCTCACGATTCGCAACTGACATTTTCTCTTCCTATTATTATTATTTTTATTTCACGGAAAAGGTGTGGATAGTTCCAGACTTTTGATTCCTCGCTTTGATAAAAAAAAATGTTCAAGTGGAAGGCAATTGGGCTCCTTAACAGCTTTAGTTTAAATCTTTAAACATTTTGGGAATGATGCATGTAAATCGAGTGTGTGTTGATGGAAAATTTTGGTCTCCGGCCAGGCCTCAATCTTCATATGCATTTTTTTTAACTCTGGAATTTATAAATCCGTTTTTCTTCCGGAAAACAGGGTTCAGACTTCACAATTCAACTTTACGTCCCGTATTAAATTGAAATGGGTTAAAACTCAAAAGTCCATGTGATATTGTGATTATTGGTCTTTTCTTTCCACTTTACTTTATCTCAGGGTTAATATCGAAAGGATCAAAATCCTAATCATGCCAGACTACAAAGCTCAAACCGGATACATTTGGATTTGATACAATTTTTTTTTTTAAATGGATGTTTGCTTATACTCCGTATTATATCAAAATGGATGTTTGCTACTCTTATTGTAAGGTGCATTTGGATTTGATACATTTTTTTTAAATGGAGTGTTGATGTTTTGTCATACAGTTCACACCTTAAAGAAAGTAAGAAATAGTATGATGAGTTTACAATTAAGGATTGACCATTGACGGGCTTGACCCGGGCCCGGGCCCGGCGGGCTCTTTTCTACAAAAATTTGGCCCGATACCGGCCCGGTTTGTGCCGGTACCGGTCCGGGAACCCGGCTGGTCTTTTGGTACTTTTTTTCTTAATTAATTGAACAATATTTATTTCTGGTACTTTTTGGTACTTTTTTTCTTAAAAATTAATGAAAAATATTTATTTCAAATATGAAGTACAATTGAGAATTGGGAATAATTTAAAGAAATAATGACGGAAGTAATACTGTGGACTTTCGAGTAGACAAATATAGGGCCACGTTTCAAATTAGTCAAAAAAGAGACCTAAAGTAAATGAAGGCCCAAAATTATCCCTGCCCCATTTTCACCAGTTGGTCCGTCTTCGTCTCACATCTCCCAGGCCTTCCATGGCTTCTAGACCGCCTCCCACCTTCTCCCATGCCCTACACGCTGCAGCATCCTCCCCCAAGCCTCCTCCACGCTAGCGACGCCACCACACCTCAGGTCGACATCAGCAATGGCGAAGACGACATCAGATCGGCATCGTCATCTCTCTACTTCTCTGATACGCCGCCAGATCTACATCGTAAATCTCCACCTCGTATGCATCGCACGCTGTCACCGCTGTTCTGGCGTCCCCCTTTCTTTTTCAACTCTTTCTCAATCGCCGCGCTGGCAGCCTGGCACTAACTGGAGGCGATTTCAGATCGCGATTGGATGTGTTGATTGTTAGTCACTATTTCGCCGCTGCCAGGGTTTGTGGCGATGCCGGGGCTTGAAGGGTGTTGGCAACGATTTTGTTAAAGATGGGGGTGGTGGCGAGTTTGATGGGCTGACGGAGCTGGGTGGAGGGTTGGGGTGGGCTGGAGAGGCAGATGTGGGGGCTCGTTGGGGCTGAGGGGCCTGGGGAGCTGTTCCTGCCGGCGGTCACCGCCATGAGGCAGCGGTTACCGTCACTGCCGCTGGCAGTTGGTGCAGGGGCGGTGAGTTTAAGTGATGTAATTGTAACAGGGACAATTATGTAATTGTAACTGGGACATTGGTGTAACTGTCACTGGGATGGTGGTGTAACTATCACTAGCCGGCTGGTCATTGGCGACGGTGGCTGTCCAGCGGTAGTTTTGGTCATTGGCGGCGTCTTGGTCACTAGCACCGTCTGGTCACTGGCGGTGTCTTGGTCACTGGCATCGTCTGGTCACTAGTGGTATTGGTGGTCATTGTAACTGGACAATGTATTATGTCACTATCACTAGGGAGGGCATAAATGTCAAATAAATCTCATTTTCGGAAATTCTTAAATCTAGTTCTATTTTTGTCTAAGACTTCTGTTTTAGTAATATTGGTGGCAAACCCCCTAATTTAAAACATTAAAAACATTTGCTAAAAATCAGTCGGAATCTCCGAGAGTGTCGATTGTTGTTTCCTCTATGAAGTGACGTTTGGGGGTGATGCAAACTTCTTGAGTTCCACGTCGGGTCTTCAACCAATTATTGAAGCAAATGAGCGTCTCAAGTGTGCTCTCAATCTCGTTCTATAATCTGATAGGATGTTGCGTCTAGAGTTGTAAACGAATCAAATAATTTATGCTCGATTCGCGATTCGAATTCGAAAAATTCAAATACAAATACAAATAAGAATACTAAATGTGATTCGAATTGTTATCAAATACAAATAAGAACATCATTGTATTCAATTCGAATGTTAATCAAATATATTCGATAAATAATGGTGATAAAATTAATAATAATAGTGATAACATTATACGAGTAATAATTATTACAAGATAGCTATACCCGCAAAGTGTAACTCACATATACAAATTCCCAACCTATTTGTAATAAATCAGAAGTATCATACGGAGTAAGGTTATAAATGAAGCAACTCACTTTAATTTGATTAGTGATTTGGATTCAAAAATTGTGATTTAAATTTGATAATATATAATATAAACACAAATGCAAATCAACTTTTTTGTTTCAAATATCTTTCACATACGAATACAAATAATTATGTATTCAATTCAGAGAATAATCAAATATATTCGTTTATACATATATATACAAAATCAACTACCTAATATGCATGTTACCATTGTTCTAAAAATCGGCCTAGGCGGACTGATTAATCGGCCTAGGCGGCCTAGTCGGTCTTAACTGTAGAGGCCTAGTCGGCCTAGTCGGCCTAGTCGGTCAAAAAATCGGCGTAGTCGGCCAAAAAATCGGCCTAGTCGGCCGCCTAGCCGCTAGGCGCCCCTCAACCGTCCGACTAGCGCCTAACGAGTTTTAGAACAATGCATGTTACAAATCAAATTCTAAAAACACATATTAAGGACATGTTTACTTCACCGGTTATTAAACGGTGCTTATTAAGACCCGTGTTAATAAGCGGCACATAAAATAAACAATGTTGTAAGACTGTGTTTACTTCAAACGGTTTAAAACACCGCTTAACATTAAAATGTCCAAAATAACCCTATACATATATATACACACAAACATTCATGAACACAAGTATATAATATAATATGTGTACCCATACCCCTAACCCCTTACCCACCCTACCTTACCCCGACCCCACCCACTGCCTACCCCTACCCCCTACCCTACCTACCCGACCCTACCTCTACCCGACCCCACCCTAACCTGTCCCCACCCTACCACAACCCTACCCCCGACCCCATAGGCCCCTACCCCCATAGGCCCTTACCACATCGACCCCACCCCGACCCCACCTTACCCCAACCCTGCCCCTACCCCTACCCTACCCAACCCGGGTAGTGGTAGGGTGAGTTCGGGTAGGTAGGGTGGGGGTGGGGTAGGGTAGGGGTAGGGTCGGATAGGGTAGGGTGGGGTCCGGTATGTGGGTAAGGGGTGGGGTAGGTAGGGTAAGGGTAGGTGTGTGGTTGGGTAAGTAGGGTAGGGGTGGGATTGGGTAGGTAGGGTAGTGGTAGGGTGGGGTCGGGTAGGGGTAGGACGGGGTAGGGTTGGGTTGGGTCAGGGTAGGGGTAGGGGTAAGGTGGGGTCGGGTAGGGGTAGGGGTAGGGTAGGTGGGGTAAGGGTATGGGTGGGGTCGGGGTAAGGGTAGGGTGGGGGTCAGTTAGGTAGGGTAGGGGTAAGGTGGGGGGTACGTGTAGGGTGGGGTCGGACAGGTAAGGTAGGGGTAGGGTGGGGTCGGACAGGTAAGGTAGGGGTAGGGTGGGATCGGGGTAGTGGTAGGGGGGGTTGGGTAGGTAGGGGTAGGGTCGGGGTAGGTAAGGGTATGGTGGGGGTCGGTTAGGTAGGGTAGGGGTGGGGTCGGGGTGGGGTAGGGTAGGTGGGGTCGGGGTGGGGTCGGGGTGGGGTGGGGTCGGGGGTAGGGTCAGGGTAGGTGGGGTAAGGGTAGGGTGTGGTCGGGGTGGGGTTGGGGTCGAGGTGGGGCAGGGATAACAATAGGTCAAGGGCAAGGGGTAAATTCGGAAACTGAAAAAGCTTAAAGTGCCGCTTAATTAATACATGGGGGTGGTATGCTTAATAAGCGGCACTTTAAGCACCTCTTTCGGTTAGTAAGCGGCTTTTTAAGCAGTGTGCGTGTTTACTTCACCTGTCTTACTAACCTAACTGTGACTTTAGCAGTGAAGTAAACACCTCCTAAGTCATAACATGCATTTATAACATAAAAATATAGGAAAAGTTATTTTAAAGTAATATTTGACTAATATTTAACTTATGCTCAAATCGATTCAATATTCGTATATGATTCGTTAATTATTCGTATTGTTAAACAAATACAAATACAAATCGAAATTAATATTCGTTTCATATTCGGATTCGGATTCGGAAAAACTAAACAAATACAAATACAAAATCCCGATGTTCGACTCGATTCGGTTCGTTTACAAGTTACAACCCTACTAGTTGCGCCAAATTTTTATTTTTATTTTTTGAAATTTTGATTGTTATTCCCGGCCCGGACCGGTCCACCAAAACAGGAGCCCGCCTCCCATGTCCACCGGACCGGAGACCGGCTCAGTATCGATCCCGGGTAACCGGGCTTGGGCCGGTAAATAGTACCGATCCCGGGTCAGGCCGGGTCGGTCGGCCTGCCCGGCCCAGTCCATCCTTATTTACAATAAGTAAAAAGTTGAACCGATTGTGTAGCATGCACTTTAAGGATATATATTTTCCCCTCTTTGACTATATGAAATGTCATTTTACTAAGGGTGAAATATTGCATTGTTGAGATTGTTTTGCGCCGTTTGACGATGTACGATCATTATTACGTAAGGGCACTAGATCAAATTGATAACGATTTGTTCACTTTCAAAAAGAAACAATTTGGTTACCACATAAGGAAAATTTAGGGACATAAGGTTCAAAGTTTTTTCTAAAAGACAAAAAGAAACTATTTGATTTAACGGAAACATGTTATCTTTTGATAACACTACAGCATGAGATTTCACTTCAATAATAACTAATCCTCAACAATAAGTAATCTTCTATATTGAGATGTTTGGTGAAATAGAAATAAAAAATGAGCGGGAGTGGCCCACTTGGAGGAGGGTGGATCACAGTTGAGTTTCCTTTTGTGGGAGTTCTTGGATTGAACTCATTGAAGTCACCCATAGAATTTAGGAGGTTTTTTACAAATGGTGATCATCTATATCCATTAGG